GTTGATTGAGTAATTACCAGGAAAGATGCCATTGGGAGAAAAATCTGCATAATGCCTGAATATTTTTAAACCTGAAATCAATTCATTAATCCTCAATCATTTTGAAAACCAACGCTTCAGTGGGCTTTTGAGCAAAAAGGCCTCGTGCTTTTTCCACCTTCTCCAGTGTGACGATTTGTCCTATATTCATGTAAATATGTACCTAAACAAAGATGCATCTCTTCTGTGAAACAGAATGCTGAAACTGTACTCACTCAAGCTGATTTGACTTTGAGCTGAGTCTCCTTCTGACCTTTGAATCGACTGCACACCTAAACCTTTATTATTATTCCCGAGGAGTTAAGCTTCAGGCTTTGATCAGCATCTCAAGTTAACGCTATGAATATCTCTATTTTCCCTGACGGTCTACAATTACTCATGAAAGGCTTTTAATCTCCCAGCTTTTCTCAAGAAATGTTTGTTCATCAATCCGATCACACTTTTTATTTCAAAAAGCTGATGTTGCGCTGACGGTAACGTGACGGTTTGGGGTGGAAATCCTAGGTGACCTGAAGAGTTGGTGCCTTTCACCTGTCTAATGCCTGACCTTTTGTCTCTCACAACACCACCCCTGCTCCTTTATCCATCCATCCATCTCCTTTTCTAGGTTTCTTATCCAGGGGGATGTTACAAGTCCAGCCTACACATACAGACTCTCTCTTCTTCCCTCTTGTCGGTCACCTGGGGGCCGAGAAAACTATTGGCTCTAATCTTGTATCTCTCAGCTTTAGCCACAGTGGGTGGGTTAGCAGAGCCAACCAACAGCTTTATCTCTGACCAGCAGAGGAAAACCTGGGAGACCCTATCTCATCCACCCACACAGGCACACACATGCACATGACAGGATACCTGCTCACATATCAAACCACTCATAGACAAATCACATCAAACACGTACACACAGTTAGAGCTGGGTTCATGTGTGCTCCTGGCAAAAGCAGGGGAACACATGCAGACTTACATATATGTAGTCTTAACAGCACATCGAAATAAGGGTGTAAAGGTGTAACACACACACACACACACACAAAGACTCCTGGCAAGCAAAAATTGTGACGAAGACAAGTGGTTCAGCTGCGAAGACTGAGATAGGACCGGAATATTCTTTATCTCTTGACGGTGCACGGCTTAATTTTAGGGACAGTTTTTTATAGTCTAGCCTGAAAGATTTATCAGCTGACTCTGCTGCTGCATTTACTTTAACGCACCGAATTAGCTCCGCGGGAAAAAAAAAAAATTAAAGGACATCACACAAAAATACTGAGAGAACTTATCGGTTCAGTTTTTAAATCTTTTTCAATTAGATTTTATTCTGCGCAGTGAAGACGGTGGGCCAGAATAAATGGCATTTAATGTCAAACATAATAAACTCTACGGGGGCTAAAAGTAAGTGTAGAAATGGAAATGAAGAATAAAACTTTTGCAGGGCAAAAATGCAGTTCAGTAGAGCTCAACAAATTTGCATTTAATCAATTTGAAAAAAGGTTTTAATGCAAAGTTAGTTGCTGCGTAGCAGCACACACACACTCCAAGAACGCATCACTCCAACGACATTTCATTGTGCAATCCATCTTAATCAGCTAGCCCATCAGAGACAATATATCCTCCCCTCCATCTCCCTACCCTTCTCCGGACGGAGTGATTGAGGGGTGTAAAGAGGAGGATGTTTCTGCCCACGTCTCCTCCCCCAGTATGCCCCCCACCACCACCCGGACGGCTCTTAAGTGCTTGTGGGTTTTTATGTTTGTAGTGTTTTATAGGAGTGGGCAGAAGCCAGGAGCAGTAAAAGTGTGGAAAGAAGGAGGGAGGGAGGAATAGGAGGAGGGGGGAAGGAGGAGTTGAGGGTTACTGTAAATCCAATCTTTATTGAGAGAGACACAAACGACAACCAGCGCCCACCCTGCAACGCCCTGTTTACCTGATCAACGAGTGCTGATTGAGGAAAGGAGAGAAGGAAGGGAGGGAATGAAACAAGATAAGGGAGCACGTGAAGTTCAAACCTGTTAATTTATCCGTCCCTATGCATTCGTGTACACGAGTGTCTCTCTTCATGCATATATATGTGTGCATGTGTTTGAGTGTCTAATCAATTGCTAACCACCAGCCAGGCCTGGAGGCCCCCACCCTCCCAACCTACCTACCAGCCTGCCAGTATAGCGTATAATTGGCCACAGTTGGCTTCAATTGAATGTTTGCTGCCTTAGGGGCCAAATGATGCTTCAAGGCCTTTCAAAGCAGCCACAGAAAATCCACAACACTCCCCTCCACATGTCAAAAACCGCACGCTCTGGTCAGAGCTTTGCTGCAACAACAGAAAGTTTACAATTTCAAAAATGAGCCTAATTAACTTGCTCGATGTTTCCTTTTATTTTAATGTCATATTTCTTTAAGTGCAACTGGCATCACTCAAAGCCTCTTAGTCAATCAGTTAGTCACTGGGAGAAAAGGTCACCAGCTTAGTCAACAAAATGACCACGGAGACAGTCAGCTGGGCAGCCAATCAGTCAGGCAGAAAGGATGATCGGACTCTGCCGCCCAAAGCTCCTTTGAGGGTACCCTGTACCTGCTTGTTGCCATGGCAATGCAGTCTGAGATTTAAATACTAGCCTGTGTCCTCTCCCTGTGTCTCTTTCATCTTCTTCTTTTCACTCCTCCAGACTCCCCTCTTGCTTTTTGTCACTCAGTGTGACTCTCTCACGCTCCATCTCTCAGTCATGTTTCCTCTGGCATTGCTGAGGTTTTTCTTCGTCACCTTGCCTCGTCCTCTCCGCTAAATGACACTTTACTAGCTGTTTCTTCTTGTTAATTCTGTGCTACTTTGCATCCCACGACTCTGTAAAAGCTCTTGTAAAATACAAAGTCGCCTCTCCAGAAACACAGAGACGGTACTTACTGTATACACACATAATTACTGAAACATTTGTAGACAGATGCATGTATAATTACTTGCAAGCACACACAAACAGAAGCAGTCACACTGAACTATGAGAGTCAACGATCAAAATATTCACTGGATGCTGGCACAGCGCGCACCTGCTGACAGTCAGCTGCCAGTGAAAATCTATCATTTTCTGCTAAAGCCTCATCATCAAGCATCATTTAGGCATGCTGGCCTGCCTCACTCTCCCCCGATGCATCACCAGTGCCAAGACACCGATTAAATTTCCCCCACATGCCCAAACAGCCTTGTGGGAAAAAGAAAGTCTCGAATGGATCAAGTGGCTTCTGGCTCCATCTAATGGTCACTACTATCTAAAACCTGAGAACAACAAGTGATGAGAGGACACGAGATCAAAAAATGTTTTAAGAGTTTGATATACATTCACTGGACCCTTTATTAGGTACACCTGGCTAGTACTGAATTGGACCCCCTTTTGTCTTCAGAACTGTGTTAATTCCTCATGGCATAGATTTATCAAGGTGCTGGAAGCATTCATCAGAGGTGCTCAGTTGGCACTAATGGACCCAACATTGGACAAAAAAAAATATCCTCCACACCATTATACCGCCACCAGCAGCCTGAACTGAACTACAACACAGACAAGATCCATGGTTTCCTATCGTCTGCACCAAATTCTGAACGTACCGTCCGAATGTCAGAGCATAAATGGAGACTTATCGGACAAGGCAACAGTTTCCAAATTTTTATTATCCTATTTTAGTGAGCCTGTATGAACCATACCCTCAGTTTCAGTTCTGAGCTGACAGGAATGGCGGGAATGGGGTACTCTCATGGTCCAAACTTCAGTTTTAACTTCTCGACCATGCCTAAATGCATTGGATTTCTGTTATATGTGTCGGCTGATTAGATATAGCTTAAATATTATTTATAATTCAATATTTGCAAGTAGTTTTGGAATTAAGACATTTGTCTCTTCTGTTCCAGAGCTAGTCCGTTTTTAAATAATTTAATATTAAATAGAATTTTAAAAAACAAATTTAGCAAATGGCTTAAAAATCATTTGGTTAACAGCATTACCGTTATCAGAGTGGTTTTTAAGTTTTGTTTTGCACTTATTGTCTGTCTTTAGTTTTATATTTTTATTTATTCAGCCTCTTGTTCCAGTAACTCAGACATTTCAGACTCTCCCAGCTCTTCATCGTACTATTGCTGAACATTTACCCAAAGCAAAACTGATCTGACGCAGCAGATAAACATCAGCCACTGCCATGGGTAAATGTCAACCTTTTTGCTCATAGGCCAACTGCAGCCAGCAAGGCCATTTCCGATGTCCAGCAGATGCATGCGTGCATATCAACAGTTGGAGTTGAAAATAATCACTTTCTGCAGTGCACAGATATTAAAAGATACAGTGTTCTTAAACCAAACAGCTGGGGGATCCTACATAAACAAACAAAACATATGGGGTACCACGATGAATTTCACATATATCAAAGCAGTCTGTCCATAATTCTTCCAGCATGGAGACTTCAGATGAATGCTAGCTCTGCTTTTGTGTTTCTTTGTCTACTTTTAAAGTTTCCAGGGAGCGACTCAGCAAATCTTCTGATTCTCAGCCGTTCTGTTGTTCTTTTATTCTTTTGTACTCCACTTTAAAGAAAACTTCACAGTAGGATTCTTAACCATATAAAGCCCTGTAGCTGTATCTCCCACACACTGAGAAAACATAATACCCATAATCACAGCGCGAACCTCCCTCACAGGTGTTCCTTGCTAAATGTATGCACATCAATGCACAAACGGATTGGAGGCGGCACTCAGTTTGGCACCAAGCTTTTAAAAACATAATCCTTTCTCATGTTTCCCTCTGACTGACTCTTCTTCACATTATTCTTTTCCAGAGGTTTCATCTGTACACCACTGCGAGCCATTATTTTTAGTCAAATAACAGCAAAATAAAATTGAGCTTCATCAATTTATTTTTTTATTACATTTGATTTTGACCTGTGTGAAAATAGACAACTTCACAAAGGTTTAAACATAGACACACACACACATACCTGCATTGACTATAGCGTCTATCTCAAGCTTGGTGATGTCGCCGTTATAAAGGGAAATCTTCTGGTCCAATTTTTCATTCCTCTTGTAGTCAGTTGGCTGCGAACCACCTGATGATGAGAGACACAAACAGCCTCAGGACCAGGTTTGCTTACCTGATAAATCAGCACAGGGGATACATCTGTAGTTCAACGCATACAAAAAGCATCATGTCCTAAACAATTCTTGGAAAAGGCTGCCACCATTTATAGAAGATCACAAGATGTGTATGTAATGAAATGATTTGCCAGGAAGGCACTCAATCCTTAAGCGACTGTCAGAACTCTCACACTCCCTGCCAAGCATCTACAGTATGAGATACAGATTCATACAAGAGGGATCTGTCATTTCATTGTTCAAGGCCTTTATATAGCAAAGTGAATCTAAAGCAAACACATTGAAGCACTAAAAACTATTAGTTTCCACAACCTTCATCAAAGCAAGTGTAGTGATCTGCAGTGACCCTTCAAATGTATGACCTCCATCCATCCATCCATCCATGGAGATATCAAACAGAGATGCTCCAAGGCCTTCTCCTGTCAGGACATGCATCAAATACCTCACCTAGAAGGTGATCAGGAGGCATCCTAGGGCAGATGCCCAAACCATCAAACAATCTGACTTAGCTGTATTCAGTGTGAAACCCAGCCACCCTTCAGAGGAAGGTCACGGACAAGCTAATACTCTGCAATCTCACTCTCCCTCACTTGTGAGCAACATCCTGAGATATTTAAACTCCTCCACTTGAGACAGCAACTCATCCCTGACCTGGAGTGAACACTCCACCCTTTCCCGGCTGAGGATCATGACCTCAGACTTCAAAATGCTGAGAGTCATTCTTGCTGCACACCACTCTAGTGCATATTGGAAATCACCACCTTAATTCATCATTCTAAATATACCTCTATAATGTTAAATAATACAATATTGTGCACTGAAAGCTCTGCAGCTAATTCAAAACAAAATAGTTTTTCATTTCTAAAAACTTGACTCCGCCTGACAGCGTTTGAGCACACTGCCTATCATTGTCTCTTAAAAACCAGAGATGTGTGGGGCAGCATTTTTTTTCACTCAGAAGAAAATATATTGATGTTTATAATCAGACTGCATTTTTTAGCAGCTGAATCTTATGCCTACCTTTATGGAGCAGCTACATATGGGGTCTGTCCAGTATTAAAATAATTGTTAATGATCTGAAACCTTGGAAATCTGAGACTCTTGGAAAACCCTACCACTACTATCACTCAACTCTTTGTGAACAGAATGGTAACTGTGACTGATGCTGAGGGTCTGACCTGCAGTGGGAGTCCACACTGAGATCTCATCCAGTGGCTTGTAGTCAGTTGTCCAGTAGTACTGACGCCTGTCCTCCACGCTCAGAGACAGCAGGTAGTCTGAGAGAAAAGTAAGATAAAGAGAAAAGGCAGTAAGTCATCTGAAACATATAACATCAAATGTATTTGTCATTTGCACTTTGAGCAGATATCAATGAGTTTCTGACTGAATATTTGATCACTCTTCTTGGCAGATTTTGAGAAAAACATTTCTCCAGAAGGCTTTTGGCCTGTCCATGTAGGCAGTAGCAAATTTGGTCAGCACCCTCTAAGTCCATGACAATGTAAAATTCAGTCATGCTGGTGTTCCAGCAATTTCCAGTTCATGACATGCTTGAGTCTTTGTGACTCCTGGTTGTACCAAACCAATCTCCTCTCATCTGAGAGTGACAGTTTGGATCTTCTTCCAGACTTTGCAAAGGAGGTGACACATCCAGAAAACTTATTCTTGCATATAGTCGTTTGACTATGGAATCTGGAGTTGTTGAGAAATGGCTCCATTAAGCTTTGGCCTCAACCCAACTGAAAACTTTTAGATAATGCTTCAATTCCAGCTCTATGACTGGAAACAATTGAATTTAAATGAACTCCAGTTAAGTGAACTGCCGAGAAGAGATGTCAGATATCTGGCTAGAATTATGCCAGATGCTTGTTGATGGCTACCAAAAGCATCTGTTGGAGTACAACTTGCTAACAGACATTTAACCAAATATCAATGGGGCTGTATGTGTCCATTTAAGCCTGTATGTATACTTTTCACCCTGTGTAGATTAAAGAGAACCAAAAATCATTTCAAATGTGTGCATCCTATTCTTTAATTTATTTTTTAAGTCATTAAAGATGTATGCTGTACAATCATTTCATTCAGGAAAAACAACAGTTAAAACTTTTTTTTTTAAATTAATACAATTTAAAGCCCAAAATTACCATGACATTCATGCCTATGATGAGTGTATGTAAACTTCAGACCACAACCTTATGAAGGAAACTAAATAGTGCATGAAATTTTTCACAAGCTTACAACTTCAGGCAGCAGTAAGTCAGTTTCAGTCCATAATTTATAATTTTATAACGTTACTGTATTTTAATCATGTATTATTTAATTTACCAGTTAATTAAAAAATATATGTGTGTGTTACATATTTATTAAGTTTAATTTATTAATTCGATTTTTTTATATACAGTATAATGTGTATGAAATACATGTGTACGAAATACATGTGTACTTTGATCTGTTACCACTAATTGCTTTATCGGTACTGTTGATCCCTGTGACAACAGCTGGACAGGTTCTGGTGGTCACGTGACCGCACACACGCGTCAAAGGCCCTGCAGGTTAAGCGTTGTCAACTTAAATTTTAATCTTCGCCTCTGTCACTGAACTCTCTCACCCTTGGTTTTCTTCCAGTCTTCCTTATCAGAGTCGAGGTTAATTTTGAGGGCCATGGCGGTGAAAGCTCCGGTGTGGAGAGACTGGACCAGCACGGCTGTGCTCACTCCAAAGGCGGTACCGAGGGCAAACTTGCCCAGCCAGCCTCTGTTCACCTGGGGTAAGGAGGAATGGGTGCCTCGGCTGGACCGCCAAAGTGGTGTTGTCGTTGAGAACTTGTCAGTTCGGCGGACAGCGTTAATATGGCTGCGGGGAGCACTTGTTGCTGGCCTCCTTCCCAGCTGGGGGCTTCCAGGAGTTAAAATATGTTTGAACTTGACACCGACACTCTGAGTGTCAGCACTGACACGGGACAGAGGGCCGCCGGTGTAGTACGGGAGAGCCCCGATACGGGAAACTCGAGCTGATACTTGCAGTGCCATGTCTGAGAAAACTAACGGGTCGTGCTGCTACGGCTTTCCAGTTTGCAGTGTCGGCCACACGTCGTTGTTTCGTTTTCGTTATCAACACACCTCACGAACACTCATGTGCCATTTTTGTTTGGGAAGTTAAGATGGGACCGTACCATTTATGAGGGGAGCCTGCTAATTGCCGCCAAATAAGTACCTGTAAAAATGTGAGTTGTAATGTGGTTTTCAGTGGTGTCATTAAACAAGTTATGCTGTGACATGTGAAATAAGTAGACTACACAGCTGAGGGTGTTTCTATTTACAAGTTCCCACCCAGCGAAAACCCCGACCCGAGTAGCAGAGTCGAAACCGTCAACCACAAGAGCGCGCCGCCTTCATGACTGTCGGAAACATTGATGTTACATGATAAGAACACGCTAGCCTCCTACAGCCCACAGAATAATGAATACGAATATGTATCTTAACAAGACGTTTCCAGAAAGTAGTCGTTTTGGATGCGGTAGCAGGACAACACAAATTAAAGCATCAACCCTACGCAGTAATCTTGACTTAAAATCGACACTTTCGCCGATTCTTCAAAAGCCATCTAGCCCTGAAAGCAACATTAACTGTACGCTCGTACAGAAGAATATGTCCGTATTTGGTCTCCCTCTAGCGGATTCAAAAAAACAAAAGACAGTCTGTAGTCACAGCAAGCCTATCATTTTATAAAGGTGTCTTCCCCATATTAAAAACAATGAACTCCTTATTATCTTTGTGGATGTTAGATAGGAGAAATGAATTTTGGTTTTAAATGCGCCAATTTTTATTAGTTGTCGAGCATAAAAATGAAATTGTTTTGGTTTGTGTCTGATATGTCAATAAAAGGTGAAAGTGCTGCTACTAAAGTATAGAACTCATAACTCACACCCTAAAGTTACATTTTTGCTGATTACTCAACACACAAAAATAACATATTTATGCACACCCAAATTGCCATATATGTGTCACTCCCACAGTCTGTCAGTGAAAAATGTTTGAGCCTTTTCACATTTCCGCCTGTCGGAAACTGACAGAGAAAAAAAAAAAGGAACAAGCAGCAGTGACACAAGTAGCAGAGACCACAACCCAAGAGAGACAAAACTGGTAAACCTTCTCGGAGAAAACCTGGTAAACTTCTTCAGAGATCTTGACAGAGGCACAGGGGGTCCCCAGTTTCCATTTTTCAAAACCTTGGACGCGGGAAACTGACGGTATTGTCCTTTAAAGTGTGTGTGTGTGTGTGTGTGTGTGTGAGACAGCATGAGGACAGAGAGCGAGTTTAGGACAGGGCGTGTGTGTATGCGCATGTTTACGAAGCTTCTCTGTTATACACACATCTGAGGTCATGTATTTACTTTCACCACTTCATGAAATGAAATGTAAAATGATGAAGTGGTCACACAGATGGAAAATTATGATTAGACTCATACAGATGTGGAAAGTGTAGGCCTAAGTAGAGGTGCAGGGGGTGTGAAACTTTTATTTATGCATTGTTTTGTCTCTATCTGCTCTTATTTCAGTTCTTAATTAAGTTCAGACACATTTCAGTCCATAAATCCAATATCTTCAAGGTGGGCTTCTACTTTTCATACATATGCAGGAGGACACTGTCTTAACGGGGGATGAACTTCTCACTTTGGGTGGGTCAGAAAGCGGAAGTGTGCATCCATGGTGATAGTTTAAGTCAGAAACAGGAAGCGCTCATCAAAGTGGACATCCCATCCATTATACGTGTGTGTCTGTGTCATGTTGCGCAGTATTATGTGGGTTAAAGTTGGTTTTCTCTGATAGGCCGAAGAGTGATTGGCAGGTCAAATATCCTCCCTTTGTCTCATTCAATATTTTAAATGCCCTGAAAAGCAGAAGGAGGTGTTATATGACCAAAGCTATCCGATTTCTTTTTAAAAATTTTTTTAATTGTTATAAAATAACTCACTCAACTTGTCATCACACTTTTACCCTCTTGAAAAATAATTAATGCATATATTCATAATTCATAATTCAGATATGAACTTATCTCTCATAAAGTACTTTGTAATATTCTTGCATGTTTTTATCTCCTTTTAGAGAGTTTTAAATGTCTTGCAAAAACGTAGATGTATTTCAAACGAGCATCGTTGCTCACTCTCACCCTAACACTCCCTCTGAAACATCTGAACAGTTTTTCATGTCAGTCTCATGGAGCTGACTTTTCACAGTTTGATCAATGTGGCGAAGAAACAAAGGAAAGTTAATTACACGTCTTCTTCCATTGTCTTTGTCATCGTTGTCACATATGTAACAACAAGGACAAATAAAAAGAAACACAAGGCATTTGTCACCCATAATCCATCACATAAAAGATGGAGGAGGGCGATAAAGCTGTTTACTCTCTCCGTGTTTGTCTGTTTATCTGTCACTGTGCTCTGTCAGGCTTGTCTCCTGCATTTCTTTCTCACTATCCCACGCTCTCTTTTTTTCCAGTATGGCGGCGTGGGACCTGTCAGTCACGGTGGAGGACCTGGGGCTCGATGCCCCACCCGTCACCATCAGCGTGGCCTCCGACCTTCACATCGGAGGGGTTATCCTCAAGTTGGTGGAAAAGACACGTGGGTAGCTCTGTCTTCCTCTCTTTGTCTTCCTCTCAGTCACACTTCAGACTAAAATTAGTGTCGTAATTTACATATTCACACAAGAGTTCACATACAGTTAACAAAATTACAAATGCATAGTTAAGGCAAGAAAACTGAATGAATTATTCAGCACACAGTGTGTCACAAGTCCTCTGAACTGCTCTTATAATTTTTTTTTCTTTTGCCACCTGCTACATGTTTTCAATTTTAGTTTGTTCACTTCTTCCGCCACTGCTTTCAGCAAGAAACACAACATCAGTCTAAACATATGTTTCATCAAGTAGTTTGTCAATGTGAGACCAATTAGGTTGGACGGATCATGCAGACACCAGTAAGATCTAACCAAAACAGCTCAATCACATGAGGCTGTTTTAGTTTCAGAGAGGATGAATGTAAATGACCTAGGAGCAAACATTGAAGAAGTGAGGAAACAAAGCTATAAATAAAGCTCGGGCAAATTGATCACTTGTTAATTGCGAGCAGGTCTATGCATGCATTCACTCAAAATCAGTCACGCATTATTTAAACATGTTTTGTACACATGTTATAAAGCATTGCTAGTGTGATGTGCGCCGCTGTTTTCACACAATATATTTCAGTCTTTTTTATTTAAGGTTGTATTTGATCTGTTACGCTCATTACTAGCTTTAGATTTCTGTTATTCAAAATATTTCTTATGCATTTTCTACTGGGCCTTGATGCCACCCTTAAGTCAATACACCATCTAAGAAATTTATAAAATCCATAACTTCTTTCTCTCTTACCTTAAGTGAACTTTCATCTTATTGGTTGCCATTTGCAAAAAGACAGTTTGAACAGAAAGAAACTGTTTGGTTTTTTTTCTTTTTAATTTTTTTGTGCTCACAGCCTATGTTGCATACCTGACATGAACTTTTGTGCATATCTGTTCTCAAAGATATGCACGCTTGGTTAATTAGTGATTCTAAATCAGTCTTAAGTGTGAACGTCTCGCTGTGTTAGCCCTGCAAAAGACTACACAGCCCTTTGACAGCAGAGACAGACTCCACCCCAGACAAACCCTGCACTGGACAAACAGTAAATTGATTGCAATCATTGGACTGACCAATGTTCAGAACAATGGGAAAAGTTGGGAAGGTCCTTGCTGCCATTTGTGAACAGCTGTAGATTCCAAGGATGTTCCCAGATGCGTTATTCAGATGTGTCACCACTTGTCCAATGTCTAAAAAAAGATCCAAGCTGTCGCTGAGTGTATGTGAACTTCTGACTACAGAAAATAAGGAAAAGCAATAAGGAAAATGTTCAAATCACATCAGGATCAATGCAGAGTGGGTAACAGTGTTGTGCTGCATCTCTCACAATCCAAGATCCATAAGGTCCTGCTGATTTAACTCTGTAGTGAACATATTCCAGTTAATAAAGAGGCTGCACTTTCCTATGACGTGTTTCAGGAACATTAGTGTAAATAATGTGTGGAAAAAACGAAAAACTAGCAGACAAATATGAGCCATGTGGGAACATACTGAAAACAATCTGGCTATTGCCTAGCATTGTTTGGTAGTGGTCACGTAAGAGCAGTGTAAAGTATCGTGTAAGGAGCAGAAATAAGTAAAGAAATGACCCTGACGTGATTTGAACACGCAACCTTCTGATCTGGAGTCAGACGCGCTACCGTTGCGCCACAGCGTCTCACAGGTGGTCATTTTCTCAGGTCAATGAGTCAATGCAAGGTGTCAGTCAGAAAATTACAACTGATATTTTTTTATTGTTATAACGTCATTTACTCAACTTTCATCAAACTTTTACCCTCTTGAAAAATGAGTAATGCATATATTCATCATTTTTATGCACTAGTGGGTAGTAGATATGAAATCGTCCCTCATAAAGTACTTTTTGATATTCTGTTAAGTGTTATTATCTCCTTTCAGAGATTTTGAAATGTCTTGAAAAAATGTTGATGTATTTCCAATGAACATCGTTGCTCACTCTCACCCTCTGAAACATCTAAACCGTTTTTCATGTCAGTCTCTTAAATGTTAAACCTTAAACATTTAAAGCTTATTTTAAACAGGAAGAAACGTTCAGCAGAACCTGGATGAATTACGAGAATAGATCCTCTGTTAACAGATTGCTGGTTTTAGATACAAATGTAATACTGAGGTATCCCAAAAAGTAGCGTTTTCAGTGGAAAAAAGGTTTGGTGACTTCTTCAGTCTCGAGACTGAAGTGAGTCATCTGAGCATGCATCGAGACTTCTCAGAGGGTAAGAGACTAAAGAAATGACCCTGACGTGATTTGAACACGCAACCTTCTGATCTGGAGTCAGACGCGCTACCGTTGCGCCACAGAGTCTGCGCAGTGTGTGCACCAACTATGGTTACACACCGTTTCCTGTCTTAATGGAAAAAACAAACAAAAAACTAGTTAATTATTAGGTCACAAATGCGGTGAGCTGGGGTTAGCTTTAAACAAAGAAATTATGTTATATAATGTGTCATAGCAGTGTTGCTCAAAGCATAGAAAACAATTTTTAATGATCAAATGTCACTAATTAAATATTAAAAATTAAACGAATTTGTGATATTTAATTAGCAATTGCAAACATAAGCACTGTT